TCACCTTTATTTAACCAGATAAAACCCATTGAGATCAAGATCTCTTTTCCAAGGGTGACCTGGCCAAGAGGTCAGCAGCACACATCATAAAACAATAAAAAACATTTTACAATTTACAGTATAACCATGTTATACAGGTGTAACAGGTTTGAGACAGTGAGTGATTTCAAGGTTCTAGGCAGTGGAATGGAGTGATGAAATGAAAGAAAAGGCAAYGTTTGAAGTACAGACAAAGACACAAYACAGCTAGTGACTGAACAGGTTGTTTAGAAACATCGACACTGATCAGTTCTTGGTAACACAATTTGTTACCGTTGAAACGAAGGATCTTAGCGAAATGAGTCCTGACATTTTCAGACCCGTCTGCAACGTGTTCTAAGATACAGGGGCAGCATAGCTGAATGCGCGCTTTCCCAATTCAGTTCTGACGCGCCTGTGAAAAAACGGTGCAAATGTTTGTTGCTGAAAAAAACCTAATCTGCTGGAGAACCATAAACTGAGCCGAATTATGTCCTTAGCTATGCTCTCGATGTGAGCTAGTTTTGAAGAGTTTTCCAACAGCAGGGCAATAAAGATGGAAAGCAGCAGAACGACTCCAGAAATGTGTAGAAATTCATTTGAAATAAGTTGAAAAAAGTATAAATGATCAAAAAACAAGTTGAAAAAAGCTGTAAATAAGTAAAATGACATAAAAAAAAAACCTGCAAGGAGAAAAAGAATGGACATTTGTAGAAATAAGTCGAAAGGAACACAAAAAAGCTAAAATCAGCWGARAGAAGGTGAAGAGAGCAGAAAAATAGCTGAACGAGCAGAAAAAGACTGGATCAAGCATAAAACTGGATTCTGATTAGGATTCACTTGGTGTCTGACATTGTCTCAGCTGTTTGCAGACCAAAGTTCAGCTCAATATGTCTAAAACAGAAACCACCAGTGGTACACAACACACCGTTCAGTGGATAAAGTCGAGAAAACAAATGTTTTGACATTTCTGTGTTAGAAGTGAAGCTGGAACAAAAACATGACTTAAAAAAGGGTTGGCCTGTGATCCTGACCTTTGACCCCTTCACTTAAAATCAGTACGGATCATCTTTGAYCCACAAGGTGTCCGCAGACAGATGGACAAGTAGCCATTTTTGTATTAGCTTGGACTTTTATTTACGTAGTATGTGTTGTAACTGCTTTCAGCCAACACTCCGAACTTCAGCTCATTGGGCCTCATGCAAGAACATGCTCGTATTCTTATCCTAAATTTCTCTTGCTTTTGTTCGTACAAAGGGTTCGTA